GAAAAACATTTTCTGTCTAGTTTGGGAGAACTAATCTGAACAAAGTAAATACTAGGTAGCTAACTGGGTGTATCTCTAGTTTTTAGTACATTGTTAGGTTAAAGTTTTAGTTACTCTGTGATTGTCAGTGAATCCTGAGTTCACTGCAGGTCACTCCTGGTGTTACCTCTTGAGAATTTGTAAGAGGCCTTCCTTTCTATGCGTTGATATCATTAGCACATTTTTTTTTTGCTCATTATTTCCTGTATACCTCTCCTCCTCAGTGAGTTACTGATAGACCTATACACATAATCAGTCTTTGTAAAAGTGCAAACAGTATCCTATAAACAAGAGCATTCATATAATGGGTTTTAGTAATATGAAGACAAGTCACAAATGTTGTTTGAGGTCAGCCTTGCTCAGCTTGGTTCTTAGGTCTCCAGTGTTCTTTCAGAACACCTGAACTCAACCCTCTCTGGTCAAATCCTCTGAGAAATCTACCTCTCTTCCCTAAATCTATTATGTTTTCACTATAAGACGAGCCACACTGAAAGGAAAAGAAACCCACAGAGACAAGAGGGAAGGAGGGAAGGGGGCGGGGGAAAAGGAAGGGAAGGGGAAAGTCAAGGAACAAATAGCAAGGACTCATGGACAAAACTAAAGGAGAAGAGTTCAGGGAGGGAGGGAGGGAGGGAGAGAGGGAGGAGGCAAGAGAAAGTGGTGGGGGGAAGGCAGAGACAAATGTATTTGAAAAAATAAATAAATAAATTAAAAAAATAGTCTGATTTGGCTATTTCAGATTCAAAGAAACTAACTTTGTTAAATTTAGTTCTTTCTAACCTTTGGCTCTATAGGTCTCCATTCTCATAGAAGCCCAGGGTGAATTCTAATTCTGTCTACAGTTTTCTTTCTTCTCCTGTTCACTTATTCTTAATACCCCCAAGGAGGTTCAAGGTAGGCTACCTCAAAGTATAGTACCTTGCCATGTTGGATATTTTAACCTGAACAAGTTTGAGAAAATGACAGAAGTGGGAAGGTTACTTTGATATAGTCTCCCACACCACCTTCCCTCTCTCTGTACTGAGGAAAAAAGCACCCTCATCCCTGAAGACAGGGAGACACCAAGAACAATCTGAACAAACAGGATTTGTTAAGTTCCCTCCAGTTTATGACACTTAGCTCACATCTTTCCACAACTTTCTAGTCTTCATCAAATCTAACATCAAAACACATGAGTTTAACCATTTCTTTGGGTCTTTATTTTCTTATGGAGACTCTGGTGTCATGGAAAATATTTTTCTCCCCTACACCCCCCTCCACCGTTTCTATCCATTTTCTACCAGCTGACTAGAACTAAACTTTTAACTCTTTACCAGTGTTGACTGTTACTCAAAACTGTCATCAGTTTTTGAGATGTAAATCTTAAACTCTTATATACGTTATTTTTATATAGACTTTTGGGTACAAATAAAAAGCTCAAGAGTACATATACAAAGTATATGGGATACATTGTATGTTTTGGTAAATACTGTTTCTAGTCTTATTTGAGGGTATTAGAGAGATATCCTTAGAATAAATATTGAAGACTTAATTTTTAAAATATAGGTATGTGTATATAAATACCAAGGTGTTCTTGGTTTAATTTCAATTTTCAAGTTGTCCTCTTAGTGTGTAGAGTTAGAAGAGAGCAACAAGCTTGCCTGGGAAAAATAGTGATAATGAATTCCTTATATAATCAAAGATACAAATTCAAGATTTCAGGATACACCTGCTCAGTGGTTACCAAATGCTGATGTTAAAACATGTCACATGGAAAATAGTTTGGAGTACTTTTTCAAAAAAAAATACTGATTGCTGTACCCAAACTCAGAGATTCTAATTCAGTTGTTTTGAAACGAGGCCTAGTTATCTGCATTTTAAAAGTTGTAGTGGTGATTCTCATGCACAGCTAGGACTAGAGAGCACTTAAAGAGGCTTTTCCTTTTTGGATTTAAGAATATTTCCATACTAAAAAGTTAGTGTTATCATTGTTGTTTTACTAGTAATGGTACCTCTGCTTAAAACTTAAAACTTGTAACAATGTACTTATAGCTGAAGAGTCCAAATTCAAGAAAAAGAAAGGTAAAGACAGTCTAGGAACAATGTAAATGTTCTGAGGTGGATCTGTGAGTTGTATTTTTTCACAGACCCATTTTTCTGGGGCATGGATAAATTGTCTACCATTCATCATAAATCAGTGTGAAGTTAATTAGCCATTCCTCCCATTTGCTGCTACAGAACTTAAAGCTCCTTCCTCGGTTACGGCTTTGAGAAGGTAATACAAATACAGATATAGAAGCAAACTGCAATTTGGCAGTAGAGTAGAAATATTTTGAAATTTTAATATTCTTAAAAGGATATTAGATTTGGGTGGAGAGGGAGGTAATGATTTCCTTAGAGGCTCTGAAGAAGAGTAATGTGAATAACACTGGGAAAATCAGCTTCTTTATATACGTGGTTTTTAAATTGCATTACTTGGTAAGTTTACCATTTATTTACTTGACTTTTGCACTTGCACCAAAAACAGAAAGGAAATCTATCTTAATAAAGACTTAGGATACTTTGATATAAGAAGCTTATGAGATGGTAAAGGGGAGGGGGGAGTTAAAACTTAGGTATTTTCAATCCGAAATTCAGGAACTAGCAAAAAGGGCAGGGATATATATCCTTAGATACGCAAGCAAGTGAGGTTATACTAGTGAAAACTAGTAGTCATGATTTCCTCCATTTTGGAAGTTAGGGTTTTGCATGAGCAGTTTTAGTCCCCAAATAAGAGTACAAACATTATATAAATGATGGATCTTTCTCTTTTTCTTTCTTCAACTTGGTATTCCTTGATTTAGAATTCACTTCAGAGATTCTTTAAAATGCAAAATGTGACTTGGTTTTTAAATCTTTGATTTACATACTTTCAGGAACCCATTTGTTATAGAAAGGAAGAACAGCTGTTTTCTCCCTGGGGTTCATTGTTTCAGTCACATCTTTATAAAATACAAATTAGGAAGACTAGGATTTAATTTTTGTTTCTTACAACAAAAAATTAGTTATACAGTTAATGAATATACTTCCTACTTGAAAGTGTATCAGAAAGTACATACTGTTTTTTTCAATCATGGCATATTTACAACTTGTAGATTTGTTTTATAGTTACCTCAATAAAACTGAAAGATTTGTTCTTTGTGGTTTTCGAAATCCACTGAATTTATAATTTATAAAGTTATAGGGGGGTAAATCTGTCACCAAACTGTTTGATGAGTTTTTTTTTGGCTTTTTTGTTTGTTTGTTTTTTTACCACAAGGTACTAGAAAGACAGGAACCATCATCACAAAAAGTAGGAAGAGAAGTACCTTTGGTTTACCTACTATGTAATAGTAACGACAATGAAGTACAAGGTCTTGGTAAGAAATAGAAGACCAAAGACATCAATAATGATAGTACTCAGAATTTGGAAAACATTGTGTAACAAAATGTGAGCATTAAAAAAGCATTTCCAACCTACTGAAAGTCTAGCCTGTTTTTAAAAGCCTGTATGGGAAGCTCAAGATATATTTGTTTCATGTGGGTACTCTAGGTGGGTGGGGATAAAAAGTACCTTACAACATCAAAGAGACTATTATTACATAGAAACTGTAGCTTTTAGAAATGGAAAAAAATTCTAACCAAGGAAAATGAGAAAGCTTATAGATCAAGCAGGTCATGTGCAAACTTTATTTAAGCATGTTGAAGAAAACAAAAGTTGGTGAAAAAAATTTTAAGGTGATCATAAGTTTTCAAGTTACTCGAAATTAGGCAGAGTACTGGAGTACTAGTGGATCTATTTGGTGATGATGGTGCAAAGAGCTTGATGAAAGAAAAAATAAACTTAAATGGTCACTTTATCTAATAAATGAATACATAAGGGAACATGCTAAGTCTTTGTCTCCTGAAATTGATGACTAGATAAAATTGTAAACGAACAGGTGATCTAGGTCCAAATTAAATATAGATAGCTAACCAGAACTAGATAGCATTCTCCTATATTTTGAAGGAACTCAAAATAAAATTTTATATTTAGAGTAATAAAGCACTTAAATATGTTAAAATGTGCCTTTTTAGGAGATTTGGAGATCTTGTGTTTCTACTTGAATAGTAATATATTGAATATTCAGTGATATGAGCTTAAGTAAGCATATAAGGGTTGTCATATGGGAACAAAATTTCAGTTACAAATATGTATGATTAGATAAAGGATAATTCTGAGTCAGGAAAGGACAAGAATTTATAAATCTAAGCCATACCTATACATTTCTTAACCTAAAAACCTGTGCTTGACTTACTCTGGATTCCCACTATGAGGTAAATTGTGAAAGTTCAACATATTACCATTTCTTCATCAGTACTAGCAATTATTAAGGCATAGAATCTTATCTCAGCCATTGATGAGAACATAGATAAAATCGCAAGTAAAGTGAAAAAGGAGACTTGTAGATTCTTGAGTCTTTGGTGTTCTATGTGTTTACAGTGTGGTTAGAAGTGTAGGGGGGCTGATTGAGATGTCCAAGTTGGAGAGACAAAAGGAGAGTTAAAAGGTAATATACTGCTGGTGGAATGTTAGAATTTATAAGGATTCATCTACCTATTGCTTAGGTTAGGAGTTCTCTCATTACTGCTACCATAACATTAATGTGCAAACTATCTATAACCAGCTGCTTTGTTCTAAAGTGTCTCTGACCCTTTGGCAGGCATCAGAGACAACATTTGCTGTATAGGATTGTTTGTGGTAGCAGGATCAGCTAAGCCCAGTGAGTGTATGTGATCCAGTAGAATATGGACTAGCTGACCATTTGGGATTACCATTGTTCTAACAAAGCACATGTGAGGAGTCAAGGGAATTGGTATGCTTTAAAAAATGTGTTAATGTACTATGTGATTTATTTTTCATCATTTAAAAAATTGATGCAAAACATTTGTGTTCTTTTCTTTCTTTCTCTCCCACCTTTTAGAATAATATAGCTGATCCAGAAGAACTGTTCACAAAATTAGAACGCATTGGGAAAGGCTCCTTTGGAGAAGTTTTCAAAGGAATTGATAATCGTACCCAGCAAGTGGTTGCCATTAAAATCATAGACCTGGAGGAAGCTGAAGATGAAATTGAAGACATTCAGCAAGAAATAACTGTTTTGAGTCAGTGTGATAGCTCATATGTAACAAAATACTATGGATCATATTTAAAGGTAATGTGTGTGTTATTTTATTTAAGTCATAACATATTTTCATTATAAGTTTTTATTTCTTTTTTTAATTCCATTTTTTGAAAGGCAGTGTCTTAAGTTAGCATTTGGCAGTCTTTAGTCTCCAGACAGAATCTCGCTGTTTGTAGGTTTAGCAGCTGTATCCTCAATGCATCCCGATACTCTTCTGCACTGTTTTTTCCACGCCTGAACTTTTGGATTGATGGAGGAACAGAAATGCAGCTGGTCCTTGAGACATATCCTTTGTTGGAAAAAAGAGCTTTTCTCCTGTGCTTTCACACATTATTCTCAATGGTCCAGTCTGTCTCAACCTTAGAATTGATAGAATATGAAAGCACGTCACTTATTCCATTGAGATACGGTGGTTATTTTCATAGCTCCCTCTCTCTCCAGGTTGTGAGCTCCTTTTTAAAAATATTTATTTATTTTGTATTTGTTTTTCATTACCATTTATCAACCCTATACCCTCTTCCATATCTATCCACCCTCTTCCCCTGCCCCCTGCAATTACCCTATTGTCCATAGCCATGAATTCTTTCTCTTTTTTTCTTGATGGCAGGGAGTTTTGCTCAGCCAGTCTTGGTTTTTATACTACTTAGCACAGGGCATGGCACATCTTAAGCACACAATAAATATTTGTTAAAATGGAATTAAATTGAATAAATCTGTGCCCCACTCCAAAAAAGTTGGATTGTTAATTTCTAGGATAATGGAATTAGCAGACATGTAAAGTTTCAGGAGATGAAAATGTTACTGCATAACAAAAAAACTCTTTGGTTAGTAAGTCCAAGAATTCTTGGGATCCAGAGTTAGAAGTTTAGTTTGTGTCTATTGAATGTGAAGCAAAAATAGTTAGAAAAATGTAGTTTAAGTTAGAGTTTCAATAATGTGAAAATTAAAAATTTTTATCCTAGTGTTGAATTTTTTTTAAAGGAAGGCATTATTAGTTAGATCTTTGCTTTTCAGGGTTTATGGGAGTGAGAGTTCTATTTTTTTCTTCATCTATCTCTAGGTCAAAAGGGGTGTGTTTACAACTTCTAAAGTTGTTGGCCTGCATAAAAATTAATGCTGTCATTTTATGTTCTGCTGACCAAAAAAAAAAAAAAAAAAACCCACCCTTGGATAATCTCTGTATATTAGTGAATACTGATAATAGAAATTCATCATCAATTTCCCTGTCTTTTTACAAAGTTTGGTTTATTCTGATGTTACATGCATTAGATGATTGTGGAAAGAATGAATCATTAAACAGCCAAGGAGTCACTATGTGTCTTACACTTTACTAGGAGCCAGATATAAAAATGAACAATCACTCCTGCTATTAAGGAGCTCATAATCCCATATTTCACTAAAAAAGTGCAGATTTTGTGATTAAGTATATACAAATACAAATATAGGACAAAAAAGCAAGTAGTCACGTCTAGCCTTTTTCTGGGGGGGTAGAATGAAGTCTTCAAGAAAGGCTTTCAAGAAAAGGTGGTTCTGCTGGCAATTCCTGTTCAATTTACTTATTAGGATAAGCTATTATTACATTTTACTATATACATGATTATTTGTAACATATTTGCATTCGTATTCCTTTGTAGAAGGTTTATTTAGCAGTCCAGTTCTTCTTTAGTAACCCTATGGTTACTCAATCTCAGTAGTTTTAGGTCCTTTTCCTAATTATCATAGTAAACTTGGTTGTAGGATGCCCTAAGAATTTCTTTTTGTGTGTCTATATTTGTGTTTATGTCTTGTATGCTCATTCTGGTCTACTTTTAGTGGATTGAATCCTGGTAATTCCAGACCGACCCTAGAACACACCGAAACCCTTCCCATTTTTAGGCATCTAACAGAAAAGCTACTTTTGGTATCTAAGTTAAAATATTAAATACACCCTATTTAAAACGAGTTATTTTATAAATAAATAAATAAAGAGACCCATCTACTGCAATAGAAGTTTAATCCACAAAGTCAGGAAATCTAGACAGCCCAATTGAAGCAAAAGCAAAGATAAATATATAAATAAGTAAATTACTTAACGACTCTCAAAAAATGGGAAGAAAAAGAAGTTACCCCCAAATGAGTGGAAAAGGGGACTCACCACAGAGAGAGCTCAATGAAATAGAGGCAAGGGAATTATCAGATACTGAATTCAAAACAATGGTTCTAAGGAAGCTCAGTGACCTCAGACAACTCAAAGAGAACAATAAGAAACTGCAGAAAAACTATCAGAATCTTACAGCAAATTATATCAACATGGAAAAAGACATAAAAACTATCAAGAAGACATAAGATGATATGAAGAATACCATTTCTGAATTGAAGAACAGAGTAGAAGGAATCCAAAGCAGGCTGGATGAAGCCGAGGATCGAATGAGTGAGATGGAGGATAAGATATAAAAAAGATCCCAGAAATAACAAGAGATGGAAAAAAGACTCAAAAAGAATGAAGAGGCAGTTAGGGAAATGCAGGACAACCTGAAATGCAATAATATCCGTATAATAGGGATACCAGAAGGAGAAGAAGAGGACCAAGGGATAGAGAAACTCCTCAAAAAAGTATTGATGGAAAATTTTCCTAATTTGAGGAGAGAAAGGCTGTCATGGATCCAGGAGGTACAGAGGACCCCACTCAAGAGGGACTCAAGGAGGTCCAGTCAAAGACATATCATCATTAAAATGGCAACTATCAAAGACAAAGAGAGAATCCTCAAAGCAGCAAGGGAGAAGGAAAAAGTAACATACAAGGGGGCCCTGATACGTCTAGGAGCTGACTTCTCAACAGAAACACTCCAAGCCAGAAGGGAATGGCAACAAATATTCCAAGTCATAAAGAGCAAGGGCCTACAGCCAAGGCTGCTCTATCCAGCAAGGCTCTCCATTAAAATAGAAGGGGAAATAAGGAGTTTCCCAGACAAGAGAAGACTAAAAGAATACATCTCTACCAAACCAGCACTCCAAGATATGCTAAGGGGATTGGTTTAAGCAGATGAAGGAAAAGAATGAGAGAGAGAGGAACACAGGTACAAAGAGAAAAGATGAGTACGTTTCTATCAGTAATATCTCTCAATGTGAATGGATGAAATGCCCCAATCAAAAGACACAGGGTAGCTGTATGGATAAGAAAACATGACCCACACATATGCTGCCTACAAGAGACCCACCTGAGAGCAAGAGACCTACACAGATTGAAAGTAAAGGGGTGGAAAAAAAATATTCCAAGCAAATGGGCAAGAGAAAAAGGCCGGGGTTGCCATACTTGTATCAGACAAAGTAGATTTCAAAACAAAGGCCATAAAGAGAGGCCCAGAGGGGCACTTCATATTACTTAAAGGAAGAATCTATCAAGAAGACATCAACATTCTAAACTTACATGCTCCCAATATAGGCGCCCCCAAGTTTATATGGAAATTGTTGGATGACTTCAAAAAAGATATAGAGAGCAACACACTGATAGTAGGGGATTTCAACACCCCACTGTCAAAAATGGACAGATCTTCCAAACAAAACATTAATAAACATACTGTGGCACTGAATGAAACACTGAAACAAAGAGACTTAACTGACATATAAAGAACCTTACATCCCAAAGAAGAAAAATACACGTTCTTTTCAAATGCTCATGGCAGTTTTTCAGAGATAGACCACATGATAGGACACAAAGCAAACCTCAGCAAATTCAGGAAAATTGAAATAATACCAAACTTTTTCTCGGACCACAAGGGCTTGAAACTGGAGATCAACCTCAAAGAGAAACTTCAAAAACTTGCAAACTCATGGAGACTGAACAGTAGACTATTAAACAATGAATGGGTCAATAATGAGATAAGAGAAGAAATAAAAAAATTTCTGAAAATAAATGAAAATGAACAGACAACAGTCCAAAACCTATGGGACACAGAAAAGGCACTCCTGAGAGGGAAGTTCATAGCACTTACCTAAAAAAGGCTTACCTAAAAAAGATAGAAACATTTCAAATAAAAGACCTAACACTACAACTTCAAGAACTGGAGAAACAACAACAACTACATCCGAAAGCAAGTAGAAGGAAGGAAATAGTCAAGATGAGAGCAGAATGAATGATATAGAGACGAAAAGAACAATTCAAAGGATCAGCCAATCCAGAAGCTGGTTCTTTGAAAAGATAAATAAAATTGACAAACCTTTAAGCAGACTCATCAAAAAAAAAGGGAGAGGACCGAAATTAATAATATCAGAAATGAAAGAGGAGAAATAACTACTGATATCGCAAAAATACAAAGGATTGTCAGAAACAACTGTGAACAATTATATGCCAAGAAATTTGAAAACCTTGATGAAATGGACAAATTTCTAGAAAAGTATAATCTTCCAACACTGAAGGAGAAAGAAACAGAAAGCTTGAACAGACCGGTAACAGCTGGGGAAATTGAAGCAGTCATCAAGAAACTCCCGGCACACAAAAAAGCCCAGGACTGGATGGTTTCACAGGAGAATTTTACAAAACATTTAAGGAAGAGCCAACCCCTGTCCTTCTCAGACTATTCCAAAAAATCCAAGAGGAGGGAAGACTCCCAGACTCTTTCTATGAGGCCAGCATCACCCTGATCCCAAAACCAGATAAAGACCCTACAAAGAAAGAAAACTACAGGCCGATTTTGCTGATGAACATAGATGCTAAAATCCTCAACAGAATATTGGCAAACTGCATCCAGCAATACATCAGAAAGATTATCCACAACGATCAAGTGGCATTCATCCCAGGGTTGCAGGGATGGATCAATATATGCTAGTCAATAAACGTAATACATCACATAAATAAAAGAAAAGACAAAAACCACATGATCATCTCGATAGACGCAGAAAAAGCATTCGATAAGGTACAGCACGCATTTATGATCAAAACACTCAGCAAAATGGGAATAAATGGAGCATTCCTCAATGTCATAAAGGCCATATATGAAAAACCTACAGCCAATATCATATGCAATGGACAAAAACTGAAAGCTTTCCCACTA